AAAAAAAAAAAAAAAAAAAAAGAGTACATGGTTCCTGCCCTTAAGTAGAAATAAGGAACCATTTTCGCCGACAGTCAGTATGAGCTGACAAAGTGATATTGCTGCCAAAGCATCTAATGTAATCTCAGGCTACAAGAGTAAGCATGAGAGGTAACCGGGGAGCAGTCCTGAACGATTCTATGTGGTGAACAAGTTGATAAACACATAGATACGTAGACAACCTGGAGTCAGCTGAAGGGGCCCCCAGAAAGGCAGAGAGTTGATACCATGAGGTAAGAGGCATAAATGATGTAATCGGTATAGTAACAGGGAGAATAGGCGACCAAAGGGAAAAGAGTGCAGCTGTCTTCAAACACCTGAAGGACCAGCATCAGGAAGAAGGACTGGACTTTTCCCATCAGAAACCAAGATCAAGAACCAGCACGGGCAGGTAAAAGCTATATCAAGAAAATGTTCGTGCCAGAAATTTCTATCATGGTTTTCTGGAAATTAAATAGTTTGTTGGTAGAGGTAATGAGCTCACTGTCCTAGGAGTTATTTAAGTTTAACCCGAAGTTAGAGGTGCTAGAGAAGAGATTTATTCATCACACTGGTGAAGGGAATGAGTCATATTTCAAATATCTACTCATTCTTGAATCCATAATCAGTGTATCATGTTAGACATTTTCCCTAGAGAAGAATGCAAACCTCAATGAATAGAAGGCAGAGAAGAACGTTTGTTCGTTTCTATCTCCAGCTGATATTGACTTGCTGAAGACTGCTTGCCAAACCCTGTGCTAGGGGCCGCAGAAGAGCAAGCTGCGTTCCAGGGACTGTGATCACGTGACAGGTCTGAGCACGGGTGCAAGATGTGGAACTAGGGTAGATGTGGCTAGCGTGCTAGGCAGAGGGCAGATTACGGAAAGGCTTTGTCTGCAAGACTAAAGACTTCAACCTGCTTGTAGAGACCACGGGAAGGCAATGAAGAGTTTCCCTTCCCTGGAGACAGCTACATGGTTAAATCTGTGCTCCCTGGTGACAGCGTTAAGGACAGGTTAGAAGAGAGAATGAGTGGAAAAGGGAGACCAGTTAAGAGATTATTTAAATAGTCCAGGCAATAAATGACAGCCGGAGCTAAGGAACAGATAAAACCAACCCTCAAGAAGTAAACATACAGAACGTCACAGCTTATGAGACGAAAAGGGTGAGGACAGAATGAGTCAAGGGTGACATCATTTCTTCTGTGGTGGCTGAATGGGTCATCTGGTGGCAATCAGGGTGCTGAGTTGTTGCAAAGTCTCCAGGGAGATGGGAATGGTTTAGATGTGGAATTGGAAAAGGTTAAGAACCAGAAACACAAAGCAGGAATCGTGGGTGG